TTGTTTTCCGTGATTACTTTGTTTCTGTTAAAGTTGTTGTTGTTCTTCTATCCTGTGTTACCTTTTACTGTTGCACTTAAGTATACTTTCTCATTTTACACTGTTATTATATCTTGTATTTCCTTTAACCTCAGTAGGGCCCCGACCTTCCTCATCACTACCCGACCGAGGTTAGGCTTGGCACTTACTGAGTACCGCTGTGGTGTACTCATGCCCTTCCTGCGCATGTTTTTCATGTATAGATCCAGGTACTGCTAATCAGACTCATCATGCTTGAGGCGAGGCGTTTGTAGAGACTCCGAGGTATATCTGCCGCGTCCGCAGACCGAAGAGTCCCTTTCTACTCTTCCCTTGAGTATTAGCCCTTCTGTATTTCCTTTCTTGTTTAGATATTCTGGAGTTAGATACTTGTAGACATTCAAAAGCTTGTGATCATGAGATTTCGGGTTTTGGGAAATGGTATTAGTTTCAAGAGTTGATATTGTGTATGCCGAGCGGCATTTCAAACACTGTTTTATTTCACTATTTTGGTTTTTAATTATTTCTTCCGCAAATTTTGTTTATTTTCCGCATTGTTAGGCTTACCTAGTTGTAGAGACTAGGTGTCGTCACGATGGTTCACGGAGGGCGAAACGGGGTCGTGACACTATCAAACCACGTCCGAATGACCTGAAATTTTGCACACACATCATATTCGACACTACGGAGCTACTCCAACTTCAGGAATTCCATTCCGACCCTTAGATCAAAATCTCACTATCGAACCGGAAACTTCAAATATTCCACTTTTGGCATTTCAAGCCTAAATAAGCTACGAACCTCCAAAACACAATCTGAACACGCTCCTAAACCCGAAATCACCCAACGGAGCTAACGGAACCAACGGAATTCCATTCTGAGGCCGTCTTCACACTGCTCCGACTATGGTCCAAATTCTAAAGCTTAAACTCTCATTTAGGGACTAAGTGTCCCAAAACTCTCCGAAACTCCAAATAAATCCTCCCGGCAACTCACATTAGCAGAAATAAAAACGGGTAATGTAGTTAATAGGGGATCGAGGCGTAATTTCTTAAAACGACCGGCCGGGTCGTTACATCCTCTCACACTTAAACATTCGTTCGTCCTCGAACGAGCATAGAGACATACCTGAAGTAGTGAAAAGATGAGGGTAACGGCTGCGCATATCCTGCTCGGTCTCCCAGGTCGCCTCCTCGACCGGCTGACCTCGCCACCGAACCTTCACAGATGCAATGTTCTTTGACCTCAGCTTTCGAATCTGCCTGTCCAATATCGCCACTGGCTCCTCAACATAAGATAGATCCTTGTCCAACTGGACTGAACTGAAATCCAACACGTGCAACGGGTCACCGTGATATCTCCGGAGCATCGAAACATGAAATACCGGGTGAACTCCTGCTAGGCTGGGAGGTAAGGCAAGTTCATAGGCGACCCCCCAACACGCCTCAATATCTCAAAAGGGCTAATAAACCTCGGACTCAGCTTCCCTTTCTTCCCAAATCTCATAACGCCCTTCATAGGCGAAACCCGAAGCAAAACCCGCTCTCCAACCATGTAGGAAACATCACGAACCTTCCGTTCCGAATAACTCTTCTGTCTGGACTGGGCTATACGGAGTCTGTCCTGAATCACCTTGACCTTCTCCAAAGCATCCTGAACCAGGTCTGTGCCCAATAATCTAGCCTCACCTGGCTTCAAACCAAACCCACCGGGAATCTACACTGCCTACCATATAAAGCCTCATACGGTGCCATCTGAATGCTGGATTGATAACTGTTGTTGCAGGCAAACTCCGCCAATGGAAAGAACTGATCCCAAGACCCTCCAAACTCAATCACACATGCACGGAGCATATCCTTAAGAATCTGAATAGTGCGCTCGGACTGTCCGTCCGTCTGAGGGTGAAATGTTGTACTCAACTCCACCGGAGTACCTAACTCATGTTGTACGGCCCTCCAGAACTGTGATGTGAACTGAGTACCCCCTATCTGGAAAATGATGGAAAACCTAGAATACCATACAGACGGACAAATCTCCCCGGGATACTAAAATCTACCGCCAAACCGCTCCGAAGAATACGGTAGTACTCACAAGAATGAAATGCGCGAACTTGGTCACCCGATCCACAATCACCCAAATGGCATCGAACTTCCTCGAAGTCCGTGGGAGCCCAACTACGAAGTCCACGGTGATTCGCTCCCACTTCCACTCCAGAATCTCTATCTGCTGAAGCAATCCACCCTGTCTCTGGTGCTCATACTTCACCTGCTGACAATTGAGGCACCGAGCTACAAACCCAACTATATCTTTCTTCATCCGCCTCCACCAATAGTGCTGTCTCAAATCCTGGTACATCTTTGCGGCACCTGGATGGATGGAGTGCCGCGAACTGTGGGCCTCCTCTAGAATCAACTCTCGAAGCCCATCGACATTGGGTACGCAAACTCGAGCCTGCATCCTCAATACCCCATCATGGGATTTGACCCAAGGGGTGCCTCTTCGAATCTTGCTCTTTGACTGGCCCAGATTCGAATGTGACCTTCCTTGTCACAGCTGAATTCAAGGAGAGATTAATTTGCAAGCGCGATCTTCTAAAATGGAGTGTCCATGATTGGCAATCCGATTTCCCTTGATTGAGGACGAGTCAATCTGCTTCTTGATTGATCATTAATGCAATAACGGAATCTTCATTCTTTCCTTATTTTGAATCCAGTAGCAATCTTGCTGAGCATCTTCATTCTTTCCTTTTTGTTTGTCCTGAAAATATAACATAAGATAATATTGTCATCATTGAAACTTAAACTTAAACCTATCAATCTCCCCCTTTTTGATGATGACAATCAAGAAGGAGCAAACAGATTAAAGTAAATTAAGATACTTCCCTTTTAAGAAGTTGCTCCCCCTGAGTTAGTGCTTCCCTTGAGATTCAATTGTTCCTATGTTTTGAATGATGTGCCCATATCTCCCCTGAGTGTTTACTCACATATTTTCTCCTCCTTTTACATCAATCAAAAAGGAAAGAGTAATACAATATACAGAAACACAAAGCAATATAATGTACATACTAAAAGGGGTTAGAGCGGTAGAGTCTTCAGCAGAGGCTTAAGATAGTACAGACCAAAAAATAATTGTCTAAAGGACACCATAAAAAAAACAGCAAAAAAAAAAAAAAGTTGTTTGTCACAACAACAACACAACCAGAGATTTAATGTCATCCCAGAAAGTATTTGAGGGTGTTGATCACTTTGGTGCAGAAGGAGTCATAGGAGTTTTCAACATCCCTGACGAGCTTGTCCATCTTTTCAGTCATGAAATTGAAGGCCCTGGTTCTATGTCTCCTTGTAGCTCCTATGTCTATCCGAAGCTTTGCGATGTCTGAACCTGTCTCCTTAGTGATATCTCTGATCTTATCTACCTGTTCTTTCATTTCCATAAGCAACAGCTTGACTCCATCAAGGTGTTGTTGAATTTGTTGAAAGTTCGGAGAGGTAGTCGACTGAGAGACCGGTTGATCAGCTTATACATCACCCGGAGCTGGAGCACGTTCAACCTTGGTTCGCTTAACCCATCCACTTTCACCCTATGAATATCCCATCATAGAGAATGCAATTTTATCATAAGTACTGGAGATGTGCTTAGGCGTGAAGGGTGCCAAGTCTACCTTCATAACTTCCAGGATAAGAGAGATAAGAATACCATAGGGCAGACAAGCAGCAGAGGAGGAAATATCCCTGATACTCTCAAGCATATACTGACGAATCCTTACAAACCAATCAAGACGCTTATTGTTGACCAGACGGTAGAGGATAAAGATATCTCTAGTGGACAAAGAACTTAGGGACCCAGACCTGGGAAGGAGAGTGGTGGCAATCATGTGGGCCAAAACACGGTGTTCAAACTTCAGATTTTTTGGGGCCAATGTCAGGAGGGTTATCAGACAAGAAAATTTTTGCTTCTTCAAGAGACACTTCAAAGTCTTTGGGCCAAGAATTTTGGACAAACACATCATACCCACTAAATTTGGCAGAGAATTTTTTTTCACATTGGTAGGAGTCCAACACAATTCTAGTTCCCAAGACCATAGATTCTAAGTCATATATCATTCACAAACAGATTTTCATAAAACATTCTCACAGGTTCTTCATATACAGAATTTCCAAGAGTGTCAAACAGAGCGAAAAGGTGCTGAAAATCAAAAATTGCAGTTACATCACAATGAACACTTCGCATAAGAGAGAGAGTTACAAAGCATCCATAAGCCATGGATTTTGACTTATAGGACTCAAACTTTGCCTTTTCACTGGGGCCATAGAAGATCAGCTTGTCTTCTGGACCAAAATCCAAGCGTTCTACCTTGCCCTTTTTGCATGCAGCCTTTTTGGGGGTTTGCTCCATGGGTCTTTTTCCGGCCTTTTTCTGGCTGATAGGGTGATTTTCAGATGAGGCACTGCTATCATTGTCAGTTTTGAGAAAGTCTGAGTCAATGGATGATTCTACATCCATAGGTTCTTTTGTATTGAGAGGTTTTTGAAACCTATGGCTTCGTCTAGTTGCAGAGGAAGGATTTCTTTTGGCCATCGAGAAATCGGTGGTTTGGTAGATACTGAGAAGAGTATTTGGATATGGAAGGTTTTTAACAAGAGATTTGAGATAAGTGAAAGGGCGTCTTGGTTACTGGAAGGGTCAAATACAGACGGAGGTGATGGTTTTGAATGACTGCAAGTAATAATTACACCTCCACAGTAAAATTAATTAGTACACGGATAATTTAGGAAATAAAACATACTGAAAGCGTGTAAAATAATTTAACCATTTTAAAAAAATTTGGTTTACAATTTTGGCAAAATGCCAATCTTTTTTCGAAGGATGCAAAATCTTTCTTCTAAAAGAGGTTTAGTGAAAATATCAACAAGTTGAGAACCAATGTTAATAAACTCTAATGTAATATCACCTTATGCAACATGATCACGAATAAATGATGTTTAATTTCTATATGCTTTGCTCTAGAATGATGCACAGAATTTTTAGATAAGCAGATAGCACTGGTGTTGTCACAAAAAATAGGAGTGGCAGTAAGACATAAATCATAATCAAGGAGTTGATGCATAATCCATAAAATTTGTGTACAACAACTTCCAACAGCTAGGTATTCTACCTTAGTTGTTGAAAGAGCAACACAATTTTGTTTCTTGCTGTGCCAAGATACTAAGGCATTTCCCAGCAATTGACATGTCCCACTGGTACTTTTCCTATCAGTTTTGCCTCCTGCAAAATCAGCATCTGAAAAGCCTCTCAAGGAGAAATTGTTAGTATGATCATACCATAGTCCTAATTCAGTAGTACCAATTAAATATCTAATTATGCGTTTAACCACAGTCAAATGGGATTCCTTAGGAGCTGACTGAAATCTAGCACATTTACATACACTAAATATAATATCTGGTCGACTAGCAGTTAAATAAAGTAGAGATCCAATCATTCCTCTATACATGGCTTCATCAACCATTTTTCCATTTCTGTCTTCATCTAGCACAATAGTTGGACTCAAAGGAGTGCCAATAGCCTTAGCATTTTCCATTCCAAACTTTTTGATAAGCTCCTTGATATACTGCTAAATATGAATTTTAGCCTATCTTATGCTCTCTTTTGCTTAGGTTTTGGATAAAAAACGTGTAAAAAGTATTTCCGAAAACTGACCTAATGTGATTGTCTGCAGGGTTTGGTCAAAATGAGGCAAGAAATCCAAAATCAACTCATGAAGGAGTTAAAATTGCACAAGTTCACAGCTGAGATAAAAGCGCTGACCGTGAAGACACAAAAGTGAAGAAACACGGTCCGTGCTTATTTTGCGCGGCCGCGGAAGTCCTTACGCTGAGGCGCTTATTATTTCGCTGACAGCGTAACCTTCGTAGGGGTATTTTTGTCCATAAATTTTAGTTGTGTATAAATAGTTCTTTTTCACATTTTTAGGTCATCTTTTGTTTTGAGGAGCTCGTGAACAGCCGTATTTTACTACTTAGAGTACTTTTAGAGCAGCTTTAGCTATTAATCTTAGATTTTATTCTTGTAATCAACTTTTATGGCTTGTATTTCATATCCATCTTTGATTTCTACCTTGATTATGAGTAGCTAAACCCATTAGCTAGGGTTGTGACCCAACTGTGGGTATTTAATGGGCCTTCAATTTTAGGGCTTAATTGTTTATGGGTTAATGATATTTAACTTGATTCATGCTTTAATTGTTGAATTGGTGGTTTCAAACACCGATTCGTGCCTTTATGACTTAGACTCTTCTTGAGAAAGAGAGACTAAGTCTAGGAAATTTAGGCTAACAAGGAATTGGGGTGCATTCAAGAGATTTATAGCCCCAATTAAAGGGTTAAACCTAGAGATAGTAATACCCGACTTGAGCCAATTTTGCTTGCATTGTTTGAACACCCAATTGGGCTTGAGAACGCCAATTAGGGCAAAGTTACTCAAACTACCGAGAGGTATAGAGTGAGTAATTGTGTGCAAAGGTTATATCATGATCCCAAATATAACAAGTCTGTCCTAACTTCTAGGCCCCATTAGATACTCGCCTAGGTGTAAGTCACTCCCCTAGTGCTTTTTATCAATTGAGAAGAACCCTACAAAAACATTGTACTTAGATTACTTTCAGCAATTAGTAGCATTAAAAGTAGAATAGAAACAAATCCAAACATGGTTAGAAGTGCAATTAAGAGCAACACGCATAGCTAGATTGGATAGAAACCCAACTCCCAACCAATATTAGCTCCATGTGGATATCGATCCCGACCTTTCGGGTAAAAGCTGCATCGACCACTCTTTGCCATTTTATAGCGGTATAGGGTTGGAGCCGATCATATACTTAGTTTGGCTGATGAAAATTCCTTTAGGAGGCTGCTTGATGAAGTCCAAGGAAGAAAGTTAGTTCTCCCATCATACTCATTTCAAATTCACCTTTTATGGAAAGAGCAAATTCTTCACAAAGAACAGTGTTAGGGCTACCAAAGATAATGTCATCAACGTAAATTTAAGTAATGAGATTACCAGAATTTGATTGCTTAATGAAAAGAGTTGTATCTATATTACCTCATTTGAAACCTTGATTTAGAAGAAAAGAACTTAACCTTTTTTACCATGCTCGCGGAGCTTGTTTGAGACCGTACAGGGCTTTAGTCAGCTTGTATACATGGTTTGGAAAAGTGGCATTTGCAAACCCAGGGGGTTGCTTACGTATACTTCTTCAGATATATAACCATTTAGGAACGCACTTTTGACATCCATCTGATATAGTTTGAATCCTTTGTGAGCGGCAAAGGCAAGTAAGATTCGGATGGATTCAAGTCTTGCCACAGGTGCAAAGGTCTCATCATAGTCGATTTCTTCTTGTTGAGAGTAACCTTGAGCCACCAATCTTGCTTTATTTCGAACGACTTGGCCTGATTCATCCAATTTATTTCTGAAAACCCATTTAGTCCCAACAACAAAGGAGTTTTGAGGTTTTGGAACTAATTCCCAAACTTTGTTTATCTCAAACTGATCTAATTCTTCTTTCATAGCGTTGATCCAATGAGAATCTATTAGAGCTTCATCAACCTTCTTGGGCTCAATTTGAGAAATGAGAGCTACATGAGACTTGTTCTTTTGAGATCTCCTTGTAGTTATTCCTTTTTGTGGATCTCCTACAATGAATTTGTGAGAATATCCTGATTTGATCTTCCATTCATTTGGAGTATTTGCTGTAGAGATCTTTTCTTTGTCAGTCGACTGATCTGGTTGAGATAAGTCAAGATCTTCTAGAGCAACTTCAGCTGGTTGAGTTTGTAGATTAGCTGACTCACTTTGATGATCTTTACCTACAATAACAGACTTTGGAGCACAAGATTTTTCATCATCTTCAGGAACATGTTCATTCCTTGGGTGAGGGCTAGTATCATTAAAAACAACATGAATAGATTCTTCAATACATAAGGTTCTCTTATTATAAACTCTGTCAGCTCTACTTGAGGGGGAGTAACCAAGAAATATACCTTCGTCACTCTTTGGATCAAACTTACCCAGATTATCTTTTCCATTGTTATGAACAAAGCATTTTCATCTGAATGGGTGGAAGTAGCCGATGTTTGGTTTCTTACCATTCCACAGTTCATAGGGAGTCTTTTTTAGTATAGGTCGAATGAAAAACTTGTTAATGATATGACATGCTGTACTTACAGCTTCTGCCCAGAATTGATGAGGTAAAGAGTTTTCCACTATTATGGTTCTTGCCATATCCTGCAAGGTTCTGTTTTCCCCTCTACTACACCATTCTGTTGAGGAGATCTTGGTGAAGAGGAATTATGGGAGATTCCTTGATCATTGCAGAAATTTTCAAACACTCTGCTTTCAAACTCTCCTCCATGATCACTCCTGATGGTAGAGATGTATTAACCCTTCTCACGTTGAAACTTCTTACAGAAAACTTCAAAATTCTTTAAGGCATCAACAACTAAGAAATATGACCCATGTAAATCTAGAGAAATCATCTACAATAACAAAAGCATATTTCTTGCCTCCTATACTAGCAGTTCTAGTGGGGCCAAATAAATTCATATGCAGCAGTTGAAGAGGTTTAGAGGTTGAAACAATGTTTTTGACTTTGAAAGAGGATCGAGTTTGTTTTCCTAATTGACATGCATCACAGATATAATCTTTTGAAAAATCCAATTTTGGAAGACTAACAACAAGGTCATGTTTTGAAAGTTTTTGAATGGTGTGTATGCTTGCATGCCCAAGTTTTCTATGCCAAACCCAGGGATCTTCAATTATAGAAGAAAGACAAATTTGATCCCCAAAGTTTTCCAAGTTTTTGATAGTATAGACACTTCTATCCCTATTATCAGAGAGAATGATGTTACCTGATTCGTCTTCTATGAACCAGCCATGTTTCTTAAAACGAACCTCATAATCATTGTCACATAGTTGACTGATGCTGAGAAGATTGTAGCCGAGTTCATCTACTAAGTAAACTTCATCCACATCACATGTAGATTTGAACAATTGTTTTGTCACCCGTCATATGTCTAGAACACGCGCTGTCGAGATACCATTTTTCTTTTCGATTCTTCTTGCGGTGCTCCTGCAAAACAAGATTTCTTATTTTTAGGTACCCAAGCCTGCTTGGGTCCTAAATGGTTAGATTTTTGAGAGTTAGTTTGATTTGAAGATTTTGGTCTCCAAATCCATTTCCTGTTGTTTTTGAACTTGCAATGATTTGAGGTATGACCTCTTTTACCACAGTAAGTGCAAGAAGAGCTTTTGAAGTTGCCAGAATTATTTTCAGCTCTAATTTTGTTCTTGCAATTGTTAGTGCTATGACCATTTTTACCACAAAAGGAACACGCTATTTTCTTTCTAACAGGAACGTTCTGATCAGTCTTGACTGAACTAGAACTTGAGGTTCTTTGTAGTCCATTCGATTGAATCTTGAGTTCGTTTACTTCTTCTTGAAGTATATCATGTTCAATTTTGCATACTTCTAGTTTCAGGGCCCAATCCTCCTTCTCTCTTTCTTTTTCTTTCTTGAGTTTTCTAAGTTCATTTACTACTCTTTCTATGTCTGCAAGAGCAATATCAACAAATTCTTGAAGTTCATAACAGATTGTACATAAAGGAGTGCGTACCTCACTAGTTCCTTCATCCAACGGTGAACGAGGTCTTCTTGAATCATCTTCTTCGTCGTTGCTGTCTGCCATTAGTCCAAGTTCCTCTGATTCTTCATCGTCGCTTAGAGCCATAAAGCACATGTTGGTAATTTCCTCATGATCAGATTCCTCCTCATCACTCCATGCTCTAAAAGCTTTCTTCTTTTGCACGTTTCCACTAAGCTTCCTTTTTAATTCAGGACAGTCAGCTTGAACGTGTCCGAACTTTCCACATTCGTAACATCTTCCATCATTTTTATCTGTTTCATTGATCGCCCTTCCTTTTCTGAAATTAGACTTACCTCTTTTGTAGTTTCTGTTTCTTCTCGTCATGTTGGTCACAACTTACGAGAGCATTGCAGTGTTTTCATCTTGTTCTCCTCCTTCTACTTCATATTCGTTTTCTAGTTTAGCCATAGTTGCCTTGAAAGCAACAGTTTTCTTCTTCTCTTGAATCTGTCTGTCAAGATGAGTTTTCTCAAAAGCAATCAAGTCACCTCTGAGTTCATCATAGGAGATTTTGTCCAGATCTTGACATTCTAAAGCGATGACATTTGGTTGCCAGATTGTAGGTAGGCTTCTGAGGATCTTTCTAACCTGTTCGCCACTTTTAATAGGTCTTCCAAATGATTTGAGGTCTCCAAGGATTTTTCTGAACCTTGAAAACATTTCTTCAACAGATTCTCCATCCTTCATTTGAAATAATTCATATTCCCGAACCAGGAGATGTATTCTAGTCTCTTTCACCTTGTTGGCTCCTTCATAAGTGACATCCAGTTTATCCCACATTTCTTTTGCAGTCTCATAGCTGGATATTTTTCATATTATTCTTCAATGATAGCATTGTACTGTAGATTTTTTGTGTTTGCATCGACAGTGATAACAGCAT